GCTGTAGTGTCACAGCTCACAGCAACCTCAAACTCTTGGGCTTAAGCAATTCTCTTGCCTCAGCCTCCCAAGTAACTGGGACTACAGGCACCCACCACAATGCCCGGCAATTTTTTTGTTGTAGTTGTCATTGTTGTTTAGCTGGCTCAGCCTGATTCGAATCCGCCAGCCAAGGTGTATGTGGCTGGCGCCCTAGCTGCTGAGCTACAGGAGCCGAGCCCTACATTACTTTCTTAGTGAAGACAGCCATTCCTTTTGTGTTCCTAAACATTAAAAGACCATAGTTGTACACCTATAATCCTAGCACTCTGGGAGGCCAAGGTGGGTGGATTGCCTGAGCCCAGGAATTCAAGACCAGCCTGAGCAAGAACCAGATCCCCACTCTAAAAACATAGCTGGGTATTGTGGCAGGCACCTATAATCCCAGCTACTAGGGAAGCCGAGGCAATAAGATCACTTGAGTCCAAGAGTTTGAGGTTGCTGTGAGCTACAATGCCATGGCACTCAACCCCAGGGAGACTGAGTGAGACTCTGTCTCAAAAAAAGAAATAAATAAAAAGACCATGTTTGAGAAGCTTCATAACTCCCGCTCATTATAAATATTATCTTTTGTGATATGTACTTTAATATAAAATGTTCATCTTCCAACTCTACATGATGGAAAGTCTGTGATTCTTTATATCTTTCAGATATTTCTGATGGATTTACAGGCAAGGGATTATCACCAAAGGAAGATAGTAATAAAGAGGAATTATACAATTTGGTTAGACTGGAAAGAAATAAAAGCCATGGCATCAAGGATTTTGACCTCATGGACTTCTGGAAAAATATGCATAAGTTTGACAGTCAATGGGGATATGATACAAGAAATTACAAAGGAGTGCCTTTGACTTATAGAAGAAATCTCACTCATAGAAAAGACCGTCAACGTAGTAAACCTTCAATTAATTTTTCTTTAAAGAATGTTTCTGTATGTGATAGTGCATACCAGCATTTCATACGTGGTAAGCCACTCATAAGGAATTTTTTCAAACTAAAAAATAACATAAGCCACACTGGAAACAAGTATATGAAGTGTTTTGAAAATAGGATCGGATTAAGCTTAAAGGTACATCTGGCTGAACTGCAGAGATTTCAGAATGAGGAGAAAACTTATGAATGTAGTCAAGTTGAGAATTCTGTTGACAATCGTTCCTTATTTTCACCACTTCAAATAATTCCTTCTAGTGTCAAAAACATTTGTAGCCAATATAGAAAGATTTTTAAATGCCCTTTGTTACCTACACAATACAGGAGAACACACAGAGAAAAAGCATACAAATGTGATGTCTGTGGAAAGGCTTTTAGCAAAAGTTCAAACCTCACCAATCATCAGAGAATTCATTCTGGACAAAGACCCTACAGATGTAATGAGTGTGGCAAAGCCTTTAACCAGTGTTCAAATCTCACAAGACATCAGAGAGTCCATACAGGAGAGAAACCTTATAAATGTAATGTATGTGGCAAGGTTTGTAGTCAAAATTCAAACCTTGCAAGTCATCAGAGAATGCATACTGGGGAAAAGCCGTACAAATGTAATGAATGTGGTAAAGCATTTATCCAGCGTTCACACCTTTGGGGTCATGAGAGAATTCATACTGGAGAGAAACCTTACAAATGTAGTGAATGTGGGAAGGCCTTTGCTGAGTGTTCAAGCCTTACTCAACACAAAAGAATCCATACGGGAGAGAAACCTTACATATGTAATGAATGTGGCAAAGCTTTTAAGCAGTGCTCACACCTCACTAGACATCAGAATATTCATCCTGGAGAGAAACCACACAAATGTAATGTGTGTGGCAAGACTTTCATCCAAAGTTCAAGCCTCATGGAACATCGGAGAATTCATACAGGAGAAAAACCTTACAAATGTAATAAATGTGATAAGGCTTTTATCAAACGTTCACACTTATGGGGTCATCAGAGGACTCATACTGGAGAAAAACCTTACAAATGTAATGAGTGTGGCAAGCCCTTTACTGAACGTTCAAATCTTACTCAACATAAGAAAATCCATACGGGAGAGAAACCTTACAAATGTAGTGAGTGTGGGAAAGCTTTTACCCAATTTGCCAACCTTACTAGACATCAGAAAATACATACTGAAAAGAAACATTGCCAACATAAAATACATGGTAATACTTTTATCCAAAGTTCAAACTTTGAGGATTATCAGAAAACTCATGGTAGAGAAAAACATAACAAATATAATGAATGAGACAAAATTTAAACAAGTGTTTAAGCCTTATTCCATTTAGAAACTCCACCACAAAGACAAACCATATAAAATTAACATATATGGAAAAGCCTTTAGCCAACATTACACGTCTTTGAGATAAACCACACAAATATAATGTGTACAGCAAGGCTTGTCCAAAATTCCACTCCTGTGGAAAAACCAGAGTTCATACTATGGAGAAACCTTACAATTAAATGTGATCAGCCTTAAATATATATATATGTGTGTATATATATATATGTATATATATATATATATTTGTGTTTATGATAGAATACATTCAAAATGGAAACCATACAAATGTGTCTAGATCTTTAAGCAACGGTGTGACTTTAGGATACACCAAAGAATCCATACTAGAGAGAAACATTACAAATGTAATCGATGTGATGAATTGTTAACCAATTCTCTGAATGGATTACACATGAGTATTTATGCTAGGGGAAACTAAGCCTCAGTTTTTCCCTGAGATTGACTGACCCAGATGTTAAATTCCACAAACAAAAAGTTGATCAAGGCTGGGAACAGTGACTCATGCCTGTAATCCTAGCACTCTGGGAGGCCAAAGCAGGTGAATTGCTTAAGCTAAGTAGTTTGAGACCAGCCTGAGCAAGAGCAAGACCCCTGTCTCCTAAAAAAAAAAGTTAAAATCTTTTAAAACTCAAGAGATGTGTATCAAAGAAGCAAGAACATCTGTGGAAGAATCTATAAAATATTTTCATTTTATTATTTGAGATTTCTTTAAAAGGTTTTCATTATTGATGAATGACAACTTTTTTGTTTTTGTTTTTGTTTTTTTGCTGTCATCCTGGGTAGAGTGCCGTGGCATCACAGCTCATAGCAACTCCAACTCCTGGGCTCAAGAGAGTCTCTTGCTGCAGCTTCCCAAGTAGCTGGGACTACAGGCACCTGCCACAACACCTGGCTACTTTTTGGTTGTAGTTGTCGTTTGGCAGGCCCAGACTGGATTTGAACCCGTCAGCTCTGGTGTATGTGGCTGGCACCTTAGCCACTTAAGCTACAGGCACTGAGCCAAATGACAACTTTTGAAATACATTGCTGGCATATATATCTTCATTACATGCTTTTCATATATCACAATTGTCTCAAGGAAGGGATTGATAAAATGGAAGATCCTACTTTTATCATTGTAAGCTGGAAAAAGCAAGGATGTTAATTTTAAGATAGAATATGATGTAAATTTAGGAGTGAAAGAATAGAGGGAAACCTGTTATCTAAGTTATTACACTCTATGTTGTCCCCTTCCCTGATTAGTTGACCTCCCTGAGAACTTCTGTTGATTATCGGAAAGGTAAGCGTACTGTACAAGATGATCATGAGACAGAGCAGACCAGGACATTATGAGAATGAACTTCTCATGGGAGTAAAATGGTAGGTTACTAGAGACTGTCTCTATAGCAGAAATAAATAGAAGGGGAATAATGGTATTCATCTGCTTTAAAAGATAATGGTGGTTGCATACCACACATTATTAAAATTTGGTCTTATTTTTTGAAACTGAAGATATAATGGTTATCACAAAAGACAGTTAAATGAAAAGAACCAGGGGAGAATGTTTGTAAAGCATTCACATATGGCCACTGAAATTGCATTTTGATACCTTTTAATTTAGAATACATTGTATTTCTCATGTCTTAATTAGTACAATATAATCATTTTTAATATCCCTGAATGAATCATATCCTTTCAGTACAAGCATATCCCACGTCATTAAGGCACTTCATATTAAACACTGGTAATATATTAGTAGGCCCTCAAGGTTTAATATTACCTATAACAGCTATTCTCAGCCTATGGGTCATGACCCACAATAACTGTATTAAAAGGCCTCAGCATTAGGAAGGTTGAAAACCACTGACCTGTAACAATTTCTTTCCCTATTAGCAGTATACAATTTTGGGAATATATATTTATCTTTTGCACTTGAGTCATGATGGGTGATGTTTTTCCTTGTGGGGAGAGAAGGACGGCTTGGCTGCAGGTGCAAGCTCGCTCCTAGAATTGTATGAAAGTAAGAAATGACTACATACTCTCAGATGGCATGTAGCAAAATGTCTTTATTTTCCACTCCCTTTTATTGGGAGCTAGTCACATACACCATATTGATGAATAATCCTAACATCCTCTATTCTTATCTTAAAATATAGAAAAGAAAGAAAGTCTGGGAAAGTAAGACAACCATCTTAAGACTAGCCTCAGGCTGTTCCTCTCTGAAGACCTAAAAGAACTATACATTATTTGACTTCTATTGTTAAAGGTTAGGATAAACAGGGGAGTAAAACCTTTTTCTTCTATGTACTCAATGAAATTTCTGAGAAACAGGCTCCATGACTGTTTTCTTATGGTTTAGAGACCCCGCAGTTACAATGGAGTGTTTTATTCACATCGTTATGATGGAGTTTTTCATGTCACATCAACCTTTGAGTCATGTCCTCTGCACAGATGGCTCATTTCAACCCTTATCTGGCAGGCTGACTTGACTGCACAGTCGGGGTTCCATGTAGGAAGTTGTTAGGCCTTGCCTGCAGGTCCCCACCATAAATACTTGCAAGTCTTTTCACTCAGTTTCTGGAATTAAAAGAGTACATTTCATTTAATTTTTGTGGGAGTTTACCCCACAGAGTCATTTTCTCCACACTCTGCCTCAGATTATTTCTATGACTATAGTGAAAGTACCACACCATAGCAGTGCAATATCAGACCCCTAAAACCTGCCTTCTCATTCATAGACGTGCACCATATTGTTAAGTTTGTACATGCCTTTATTTCTACATGCTTTGTTTTTGCAAGAGTGGCTTGCATTTTCTTTTACATTGGGCAAAAATACAAATAGCACATGAAAATATTAGTAAACAAAAGAACATTTCAGGAATAAGGATTAAAATAACATGATCTCTCAGTTTGTACTTGGATCACTCTGTGAAATAATTTCAAAAGATCAATGTTGATGTGTTTTTTCTTAATAATGAATATTTACAATGGGATTTTTTTTTTTTTTAAGAATTGAGAAACTTCAAATATTTACTCCTGAAGTGTTTTTTGTTAATTTGCACTTGTGAGCTGGGCACAGTGGCTCATGCCTACAATCCTAGCTTGTTGGGAGGCTGAAGCAGGTGGATCACTTGAGCTCAGGTGTTCAAGATCTGCTTGAGCAAGAGCGAGACCCTGTCTTTGCTAAAAATGGAAAAACTATCTGGATGTTGTGGCAATCATCTGTATTCCCAGCTACTCAGGGCTGAAGCAGGAGGATTGCCATGAGATGTAGGTTGCTGTGAGCTCAGCTGATACCCTGACACTATGCTCAGAGCACAGAGTGAGACTCTGGCTCAGAAAAGGAAAAAATATACTGAATTAGAAAAAGGGCAAAAGCATAAAGAGACATTTCACTGAAGCAGATATGCAGAGTAAATAGGCAAACGAAAAAATTTTCAACATCAGTATCCATCAGATGTTCAGACTTCAGTATTTTCTTCCTCCATGTGGACCTCTGTCTGCCTTCAGAGTTCTTGAGAATAAAATAGCCTTTACTGAACACTCTAAAATATCTCCTTGGTGATGTTCTTCACAAACTTGTTATTTCTGAGCATTGGCAATGGGAATAGTTTTTCAAACATTTTCAGCTCATCAAGCATGCTGTGTCATGCTCACTATTGGTGAGTCAATAATTATAGTTCTATGAAGAGATCAAATATCTCAGAATAACAAACATATGTCAGAGTCTGGCTGGCTTCCTCCTTACTGCTCTAGTATGCATATACACACATCACCCCTGTAACACTGCTATAACACACTAAGCCCAAAGTTCTGGCATCAAAAGGAATCAGATGAGTATTTGCTATTAGAGTCTGTAAGGCAATCTGTGTACAGAAAAGGAATATTATGAGTCTGAGTACATGCTCACATTTGAAAAGATTCCTCTGGGATAGAAATTATTCTAGTGGCAAACATACAGAGGGTGGAGGAATAATTTCTGAGATATGGACTCAGTCTGTGGAGACAGACTAGAGGTCCTACCCCTGACATCAATCCTTGATTGTGATTGTTGATGTTTTATCTATGTAGTATTTAATCTGAGATTAAAATTATGATTTTAACTCTGGTTTACCTGCCATATAACTGGCACTATTTTCAGAATAACCATTATTATACATGTATACAATAATGTAAAAATGGAATCTGGTTATCTAATTATGTACAGAAAGCATGTTTCTTTTCTCTAATGCTGATCATATGATGTACTGAATGGAGACAGTAACTATATTTACGCAGAACATGTCTATTGTCAGTTGACTACAGTGAAAGAAACTTCTCTCTTGAGTTCACTGAAGGCACATTTTAGAAAAAGTTAATGTCATCAACGTGGGTTTTGCACCAAGGACAGTGAGGAGAAATACTTTAGGAGTTTTCACAGTCAAATACATATATCGTGATATTTTAATTTTTTTTTTTTTTTGGTTAAAAAATATCTTTTGGGGAGCTGACAGAAATGTTCTAAAATTAGAATGTGGGATGGTTTTACAACTCTGTATGTGTATTAAAAGTCATGGATTTTTTTTCTTGTGACTATCTCTGTTTTGCTCCCTAGAACATTTTATAAGCAACAAAACTCCCCTTAAACAATTGAATTCATCATTTTCACCTGTAATCCTCTATTCTCAGTTTAATGAAAAGTTCCACAGTCAACTCATGTCTTTGCTTGGGATCATGGAAGTCCATGCTGAAACTTCTTTCTTGACAACATACCTACTTATGCTGTTGTGTAAAACAGAATAGTTCTACTTTGTAAAGATCTCCAAATCTGGCTCGGCGCCTCCCAGAGTGCTAAGATTACAGGTGTGAGCCACTGTACCCGGCCTTCCCTTTCATTCTTATGGAATCAAGTGTAATGGTTTATTTTTCTGTTTCAAATCTTAGTCATTTCTGACTTGTGGGTTTTTTGGGTTTTTTGTTTTTTGTTT